AGAAACTGGGAAATGCAGTGAGCTGTGGATGTGGTGCAACGCCGTTTGCCTTTACAGACTGCAATGGGGAGGTCAAGGTCATCCAAAGAAGGTAAAGTAGCGACAGTGGAAGGTATCTCAGGGGGACTTGGATCTGATAAAGGGATTGTGGTACCTGGATCTGGATCCGCAGAAGGAACTGGGGCTGGCCTGGACTGCTAATGACCAAAATCAACCTGCCTCCACCGCCTGTAATAAACTCTCAAATCCTGACACCTCTGACAACCCTCCCCATTACATCCCTCATCACTCAATGGAATAGGTAAAGGAACTTTTGATGCGTTAACCCCACTCTCACTACTCTCCCCCTGAGGAGAAACCCTAGGGTAATGGGGTACCTTCTCAAAGAAAGTAACATCCATCGAGACAAATCTCCTCCCAGAAGTAGGTTCATAGCAGCAATAACCCTTTTGAGTTTGTGCATAACCGAGAAAAATGCATTTGGAGGCCTTATGATCAAATTTGGAACGATGAGGTCCAAGAATCTGAACAAAGCAAGTGCAACCAAAGGTTTTAAGGGGAACGGTAAATAATTCTTTATCGGGTATAGAAGGGTAAAGGGAGGCTTCATGTCAAGAACCCGTGAAAGAACTCGATTAATTTTCCCGAAGACCTCGTTTGGAGGACAGTGGCTCCTCTAAAAGTTTCCTTTTGTCTATGGGTGACGGTCTTAAGGAAGTGCTTAACAGCAGACAATTTGACAAAGAGAGGTTGGGTAGTAGAACCAAGCAGATGTGTCCTATGTGGCAACAACTCTGAAAAGTTGGAGCATCTCTTCCTGCACTGCAGATTTAGTTGGGTAATTTGGATGAAAATGTTAGAGGTCTTTGGAGTTCGGTCGTGCCTCCCAAGGAATGCATTGGATCTGTTATGGGATTGGGGTCTAAGGGGGCTGTCGAGAAGAGGTAAGATTGTATGGAAGGTGTTGCCAGCGGTTGTGGTGTGGTCAATCTGGTCGGAAAGAAACAAGAGACTCTTTGAAAATCAGTTGAGATCAGAGGAAGTCTTAAAAAGAATTGTCCTTACAGTTTTGTTTTGGAGTATAGAAATCTTTTTGTATGATGTTCTTTTTTGGTTCTTTTGAGTTGTACAAAGCTTTGCCTTGCTCAGTTCCTCAGTGGGCATGGCTGTATCTATTTCAGTTCTGTTAATGAAATACTTTACCCTTTCTCTCAAAAAGAATTATTTATCTATGAATTCATGGACAGACCGATTTTGACCTAGATGGTTGAGTTGCTTGACTGCCAGGTCTGCCACTATGATGGAAGAACGGTTTTGTTTTGAGGTTGCTTTTGAAAACATGAAACTTATGTTTCTAAAAGCATTGGGATATATCTAATTGATAAAATTTATTGGTGAGAAAAAATAGCTTAAATATAGAATTCCATGAGAGAGAGAATGGGAGTTAATACCTTAAATATGATATTTAATGAGAAGGAATTGAATGAGGTGAAACGTAGTTCAAATTACATTTTCTACCCTTACAATTATAGATGAACCAAATTCAAAAACAGGGGTATTTAGTCAAGAATAGGATTCAATGAAATCTAATGGGGGTTAATACCTCAAATATAAGACCTAATCAGAGGAAATTGAATGAGGTGAAGGAGGAGACAATGTTTTTTTTTTTTTTATCACATGGGAGGAGACAATGTTCCAACTACTCATCTCCAATTTGCATATGATATCATTATTTTTTGTGAAGGAGGAGACGTCAGGAAAGTCGGGAGATTGAAAAATCTAATCAAGAAGTTTGAAAAAGTGTCAAATATGAAAATCAATTTGGACAAGAGTTGCATAGCAGGGATTAATATGGAGGGGATGGTCCTACATAGGATAGAAAATTGCTTAGAATGTCATATCACCCCGTGGCCTTTGACCTACCTAGGGCTTCCCCTAGGTGCAAACCCGAAGGAAAGTAGATTTCGGAACCCAGTTATAGAAAGATGTAAAAAGAGATTGGCTGCTTGGAAGAGAAGTTATTCTCTTTGGGAGGTAGGATCACATTGATAAAATCAACTTTGGCTAACCTACCCATCTACTTCCTATTTGTTTTTAGGATCCTACCAAGAGAAGAAAAGTTAGAAAAAAGTTATTAGGGATTTCCTTTGGGAATCGGGAGAGACCTGAAAGGACCACTTAATAAAATGGGAGGTTGTGTGTAAAAGAAAGGAAGAAGGTGGTTTAGGTCTAGGGAATGTAAGGAAGAAGAAAACAACCCTGTTAGGGAAATGGTTATGGAGATGGCCTCTTGAGAGAAAAAATTTGTTGGTTGAAGTAGTGGCAAGTATACATGGTAGATTGGAGAATGGTTGGGACGCTGGTGTATCGTGTAGGGCTACCTTGGCAGCACCTTGGAAAGCAATTCATAGCCTCCTCCCTTAGTTTCTCAGGTACATCAGGTATGATGTTGGCTCAGGGAATTTAATTCGATTTTGGGAAGACACTTGGCTTGGTGACCGGCCTTTAAAGGAGGTGTTTCCTTCTTTGTATTCTATTTCGTTGTATAAAAATAAGGTCATTTCAACTTTTTTGGTTCTTCCTTCTTTGCCTTTGAGTCTTAATTGGGATCTCGGGTTTTGAAGGGGTTTGAGGGATGAGGAAGCAACTTGTCTGTCAAGGCTTCTCCTTCTTCTTGATAGTGTTTGCTTAGAGCTTTCTTGTCCAGATAAAAGAAATTGGTTTCCAAGCTTTAAAGGTTCCTTTTCTTGTGCCTCCTTTTTTAAAGCTCTTTGTCAGTCCCTTTCCTCTCTGTCCTTTCCTTGGAAAGAAGTGTGGCTTCAGATGATTCCCCCTAAAATTCAGGCCTTCTGTTGGGAAGTGGCTCTTGGGAAAATTAACACTCTGGATTATTTGCAAAAGAAGAGGCCTTTTCTGTGTATTTCCCCGAATTGGTGCACTCTATGCAAATCTGATGGTGAATCTTGTTACCATTTACTAATTTCTTGTTCATTTGCTACAAATATATGGGATTGGTTTTTCTCTTTGTTTGGGTGCAGGTGGAATATGCCAACGGAGATAAAAATGTTGTTTGACCCATCTATCTTTGCTTTACCAAAGAAGAGGGGAAGAGTAATGTAGAGGTACACTAGAGTAGCAGTGGTGTGGACCTTGTGGGAAGAGAGAAATGCCAGAATCTTCCAAGAGAAAGAAGGAGCAAACGACAAATTATGGAGTGTGTAATGACTAGGGTTATACATTGGATACATGCTTTGGAACTATTCAAAAATTTCACATTTGATGATATTTGGAGGAGTTGGCCTTTAGTGGCTTCTATCTCAGTGCAGAAGGTTAAAGCAAGGTTGATTGGACTCCTCCCTTTGAAGGATTTCTGAAACTAAACTTCGATGGGAGTAGTCAAGGCAACCCAGGACCAGCTGGATAGGAGGGGTCATCAGAAACAAGGAAATTTAGGACCAGTGGGGAATGGGGATTCCTTAAAGGCAGAATTGTATGCAGCCCTACAAGGCGTACAGATTGCAAGAGAGTTAGGATTGGAAAATTTGGTGATAGAAGGGGACTCCAAGGTGGTGGTGGGTTGTCTAAAAAACCCAGATTCAGTGATTTGGGCTTACAGAAATGAAATGAAGAAATTCAAATGGATAACTCAGCAGATGGATGTAACTATACAATGGGTGGGGTGGGAGGCAAATGCTTTTTCTGATTCTCTAGCTAAATAAGGAGTAACTAGGGGCCAGTTGTACTGGGCCCACTTGTAACTTTATGATGTTTCTGTACTAATGAGTGAGGCTGCACCTCGCACCTCATATTGGGATGCTTGTAACGGACTATTTATCATCTGCTTCTAATGAAATCAATTGAATTTGTATCTACCAAAAAATAATAATGAGGTGAACAAAAATAGGGGTATTTTAGTCAAACAAAAGTTCCACACTCTCATTCGTACTTCTAATAGTAGTATAGATATAGATATAGATTTATGGTTAGTTTTTATTGGGTTCACCAATAGTGTTAAGGGTCTCACAGAATATAATGGTGAGTTTGAAATAAGTTGTGAGGTCTGTTAAGTTTTCTGCTATTACCATTAAGATTTTGGACAGATGTAGAAAATTACCCGCTTTGGTTGGGTTCACCATAACTCATAATAAAATCTCTTTTCTAAAGGTAATTGTTCAGAAAGACACTTTAAACTTAAATTAAGAATCCCAATGAAGCAGAGATCTTTAGCTTTTTTGGGTCTTGAGGATTGGAACATGTTTCAAACTTTTGTAAGGCAAACTCTATTATTAGAAATATTTCTGAATCAGGAGGAACTAGAGACAAATAATCCATCTCTTAGATGATCGGATCTTAACAGAATTCAAAACAAGTTCTGTTCATTGAGCTATCCCACACCTTTCTTATAAATGCACCTATGGTTCTTTCAATCGGTCCCAACTGAACATTTGACCTCAATGAACAATTTGATTAAATTACTGTTTCCACTTGCCTTTTCAGACTGTTGGAGAAAAACTGTTTAGAGTGGGGCATATAGACCAGATGCTTATCATTAGTTGGATTAATTCTGCCCGACTTGGAAAATCTCCAGATGGGATACCAGTGAAGGTGGGTCCTAATATGTGCATTTGCACATCTGCAATAGGATTATAGGACCATCCATCCTTCTAGGTATAGTCCACATTTCTTCATTTCCTTTAAACAATGGATATGGCACTGAACAGAGTAGAATGGAGAAACAGGATTCATGTAGTTGACCCCATTGGGACAGGGCTTAGGTGATGATAATGATGATTGTCTTGTTAATTTCCCCAATTCAAAATTTTTGTCATTGATATGCCAATTAAAGAAGCTAATCTTGTTATTACTATAAAAGCATGGGAAATATTTGATAACTGCTTGAGAGCCCTTGTTCTTAAACAGATATAATTGTTTTTTTTCTTCAATCTCAATGCTTACATAACTAAAAATTAGCTTGTTACGTTCATCTGTATTTTTTACAGATATGTGGTGACATTCATGGGCAATTTTATGACATGAAGGAGCTATTCAAAGTGGGTGGTGATTGTCCAAAGACAAACTATTTGTTTCTTGGAGATTTTGTTGATAGAGGATTTTACTCTGTCGAGACATTTCTGCTTCTACTAGCCCTGAAGGTCAGATTTCTTTATACACTTGTAGGTCCTTTGTCTGAAACCATTGATAAGGTTTTGAATTATAAACCTCTAACGGGTTCATTGTTAGGTAGAGCTGATTGGTTCAATAACCAATGGCTGGTATCTGACATTTCTTGAACTCCAATCTCTTTACCCCCTCTATGAGATTCAGGCTACAAATTTCAGTAAAACAGATACTAGATTCAGAAAACTAATAATTAAGACAAGAGTCCCTTGCTATTGTGCTTAAAAGAAGATTGTGTTTGGTGTTTTTACTCCTTTTATAAGATTAAAGATGTGAATTGTAGTAAGCAAGTGACAGGTCTAGCAAATTAATGATCAAGATCAGGGTTCCTTGCTTATGTGTTGCAAAGAAAATTATGATAGTGAAAATCCATTATTAATGTACTCTACATGTAAGTAGTTTCTCCCTTCTTTTGTTGGACAGTTTTTGTATGCCCTTAGCTTCAATCAGTTCAGATGTACTTTTGATATTTAATGTAAATAAATAAAGTACATGTTTGATTCATGTTGTGTGGTATACTTATGTGTAAAACCCTAAAACTGGACACTTAATGAGACTTGTGTTGGTTTTAAATGTTCACAGCCGTTGGATAAATCTGGGGAGATTTATCCTGCCAAGGCTGACACTGGTGTGCTGCCAACTGTTGGGGTGGCTTGTCTCAGCCGCCAGGGTGAGACCCAAGGCACACGCA